CGCCCTCATGTGTCCTTTTTCTGCGTGTCAGTTTAGTGTCTTATGTTTATAGTCCTTTAAGTCTAGTCCTCCCAGGTTTTGTGTCATCTCATTCTTCCCCAGGTCCTCCAGGTCTCGTTTACATTCTGTGTCCTTGTAGTCCCCAGCTTCCTTGTCCCCAGCTCAACGTGTGTGTGTGAGATCCAGTCTCCTGCTCAGTTTGTGTGTTTGTGTGTGTGTGTGTGTTGTTCTGTGTGTGTGTGTGCTTGTCCATTCCCCTTTCCCGTTTATATATTAGTGCCTTGGTGTGTGTGTATTAGTCCTTCCCGCAGCCTTTAGATTTAGTTTTGGTGTCTTAGAGTTTCTTAGGTTTATTTGGCCCTCCTCTGTTTCTGTTTGCCCATTTTGATTATTAGGTTCACCTGTCTTCCCTCCAGCTCACTTCACACACCTGCTCCCATTTTCCCTAATCACTTCTCCCAGCGTATTTAAGCCCTGTCTGTCTCTGTGTTCTTGTCGGTCCATTGAATGTTTGTTATTCTGTCAGTCTCGTCTCGTTTGGATTACCAGTGTTCTTTGCCCCTTGGACTTTCTAGAGTTTTTGATCTCCAGAGCTTATCTGGAATTTTGGACTTCTGGCTCGCTGCCTGGATTTACTTTTGTTCCGCCTTCAAAATAAAGAATTTTACTTTTCATCATCTCTGCCTCGTGTCATCCTGGGTAACTGCATATTTGGGTCCTAACATCCTCAGAACGTGACAGAATGGACCGACCAACCAGGACCCAGCGGCCACGGATGTACACCTTCCACGGCGACCCGGACTCCTGTAAGACTTTTCTTCTGGACTTTGTTAGGCTTCATGACACGGACACGCCAGACATTGATCTGGTAATTAACCTGGTGTTCCTCCTAAGGGGGAGAGCTCTGCAATGGGCCAGCCTATATTTTGATCAGAATCCAATTCAGGAGTTGGTGTTTTGGGACTTCGCAGAGGATCTGCTGGACGCCTGCAGCAGCCCACAGTTTCCCTCCTTCTCTGTGGATTATAATCCATCAGCAAGCGCCATATTAAGAGCTGCCTTCTCAGCATCTAAAAAGCACCACGCATCCACATCTCCGCCTGGTTCTGACAGCACCACCACTTCCTCTACGGTGGGCTGCCACCACACTTCTCCAACTGTTCCTGCCGTCTCCATAACTCAGCCTCCTATGGTCTGTGTCACCACACCTCCACCAGTTCCAGAGAGCTCTACCACACCCTCACCTGGTCCCGACAGCACCACCACTTCCTCTCTGGTGGGCTGTATCTCATCCTCAGTGCCTGCCAGCGTCACCTCCACACCTCTGTTGACCCAAGACTCCCCACGTCGACGACGTCGCCGCAGCCGCCGTCAGAGGTCTTCTGGGGCAACAGTTCAGGTGGCTCCTGCTCCAGCGGTGGTCCCGAGGGTCGCATCGCGTCCTGCTCCAGCGGTGGTCCCGAGGGTCGCATCGCGTCCTGCTCCAGCGGTGGTCCCGAGGGTCGCATCGCGTCCTGCTCCAGCGGTGGTCCCGAGGGTCGCATCGCGTCCTGCTCCAGCGGGGGTCCCGAGGGTCACTTCGCATCCTGTCTCGACGGTGGTCCCGAGGGACGCATCGCACCTCGCCTCAGCGGTGGTCCAGGTGGACGCATCGCACCTCGCCTCAGCGGTGGTCCAGGTGGACGCATCGCACCTCGCCTCAGCGGTGGTCCAGGTGGACGCATCGCACCTCGCCTCAGCGGTGGTCCAGGTGGACGCATCGCACCTCGCCTCAGCGGTGGTCCAGGTGGACGCATCGCACCTCGCCTCAGCGGTGGTCCAGGTGGACGCATCGCACCTCGCCTCAGCGGTGGTCCAGGTGGACGCATCGCACCTCGCCTCGGCGGTGGTCCAGGTGGACGCATCGCACCTCGCCTCGGCGGTGGTCCAGGTGGACGCATCGCACCTCGCCTCGGCGGTGGTCCAGGTGGACGCATCGCACCTCGCCTCGGCGGTGGTCCAGGTGGACGCATCGCACCTCGCCTCGGCGGTGGTCCAGGTGGACGCATCGCACCTCGCCTCGGCGGTGGTCCAGGTGGACGCATCGCACCTTGTCTCCGTGATGGTCCAGGAGGACGCATCGCATCCTGCCTCGGCAGTGGAGGACACACGGGCTCTGGTCCAGGCCGTCCACGGGCCCCCGGGCCAGAAGTCGATGCCTCCCGTCTCGGGCCCCCAAGAGGACGCTCCCGTCTCGAGCCCCGAAGCGGACGCACCCGGCCCGAGCCCCGAAGCGGACGCACCCGGCTCGAGCCCCGAAGCGGACGCACCCGGCTCGAGCCCCGAAGCGGACGCACCCGGCTCGAGCCCCGAAGCGGACGCACCCGGCTCGAGCCCCGAAGCGGACGCACCCGGCTCGAGCCCCGAAGCGGACGCACCCGGCTCGAGCCCCGAAGCGGACGCACCCGGCTCGAGCCCCGAAGCGGACGCACCCGGCTCGAGCCCCGAAGCGGACGTACCCGGCTCGGACCCCGAAGAAGACGTCTCGAGCCTCTGCTCTGAAGCGGACATCTCTGTCTCAAGTCTCCCCACACGTGTTCCAGTTCCCCAAGCCTCAAGTGTTCCCATCTCGAGTGTTCAAGTCTCCCAGCCTCCCGAGTCACAAGCCTCCCAGTCTCTAGCCTTCCAGTCACCTCAAGCCTTCCAGTCACCTCAAGCCTTCCAGTCACCTCAAGCCTTCCAGTCACCTCAAGCCTTCCAGTCACCTCAAGCCTCCCAGTCTCTAGCCTTCCAGTCACCTCAAGCCTTCCAGTCACCTCAAGCCTCCCAGTCTCTAGCCTTCCAGTCACCTCAAGCCTCCCAGTCTCTAGCCTTCCAGTCACCTCAAGCCTTCCAGTCACTTCAAGCCTCCCAGTTTGACGTTCCCCAGTCTACGTCCCCTCAAGTTCCCCAGGCTGACGTTCCCCAGTCTACGTCCCCTCAAGTTCCCCAGTCTGAAGTTCCCCAGTCTACGTCCCCTCAAGTTCCCCAGGCTGACGTTCCCCAGTCTACGTCCCCTCAAGTTCCCCAGGCTGACGTTCCCCAGTCTACGTCCCCTCAAGTTCCCCAGGCTGACGTTCCCCAGTCTACGTCCCCTCAAGTTCCCCAGGCTGAAGTTCCCCAGTCTACGTCCCCTCAAGTTCCCCAGTCTGACGTTCCCCAGTCTACGTCCCCTCAAGTTCCCCAGTCTGACGTTCCCCAGTCTACGCCCCCTCAAGTTCCCCAGTCTGAAGTTCCCCAGTCTACGCCCCCTCAAGTTCCCCAGTCTGAAGTTCCCCAGTCTGTGTCCCCTCGTAGTCGTGGTCTTTGTCCAGAGTCCCCTGTTGGTAGTGGTCCTGTGTCCCCTCTTAGTCATGGTCTTTGTCCAGTGTCCCCTGTCGGTAGTGTTCCTGTGTCCCCTCTTAGTCTTGGTCTTGATCCTGTGTCCCCTCTTAGTCTTAGTCTTGATCCTGTGTCCCCTCTTAGTCTTGGTCTTGATCCTGTGTCCCCTCTTAGTCTTAGTCTTGATCCTGTGTCCCCTCTTAGTTTTAGTCTTGGTCCTGTGTCCCCTCTTAGTCTTAGTCTTGGTCCAGTTTTCCCTCTCAGTCTTAGTCTTGGTCCAGTTTCCCCTATCACCACACTCCTACAGTCCAGGCTCCTGGTTCCCCGTCGCCGGCCCCCCAGACTCCCACAGTCCCGGCTCCTGGTTCCCCGTCGCCGGCCCCCCAGGCTGACACAGTCCAGGCTCCTGGTTCCCCGTCGCCGGCCCCCCAGACTCCTACAATCCAGGCTCCTGGTTCCCCGTCGCCGGCCCCCCAGACTCCTACAGTCCCAGCTCCTGGTTCCCCGTCGCCGGCCCCCCAGACTCTTCTGTTCCCTCCTCGCCCGCCCCTTTTTGGGTTGTGTTTTGTTTGCTCCCTCCTCTCCCTCCCTCTGGTTGTTTCGTGTCTGGTTTTGGTCTTGTCTTTTGCTTGTGGTGTTTGTCTGTCTTGTGGTCGTCTGGTATCCGCCCTTAGAGGGGGGGGTACTGTCATGGTCTGCGTCTGTCTTCCCCATGTGTCTCCTGGTGTCCTCCATCCCTCTCTAGATTCCCTCTTGTGTCTCTTTGTTCCCCAGCTCCTCTTGTGCTCCACTCCATGTTCTCCCCTTGTGTTGTAGCCCTTTAGCGCCCTCATGTGTCCTTGTCTGTATCCCTGTTGTGTGTCTTATGCTGTAGCTCTTTGGCGCCCTCATGTGTCCTTTTTCTGCGTGTCAGTTTAGTGTCTTATGTTTATAGTCCTTTAAGTCTAGTCCTCCCAGGTTTTGTGTCATCTCATTCTTCCCCAGGTCCTCCAGGTCTCGTTTACATTCTGTGTCCTTGTAGTCCCCAGCTTCCTTGTCCCCAGCTCAACGTGTGTGTGTGAGATCCAGTCTCCTGCTCAGTTTGTGTGTTTGTGTGTGTGTGTGTGTTGTTCTGTGTGTGTGTGTGCTTGTCCATTCCCCTTTCCCGTTTATATATTAGTGCCTTGGTGTGTGTGTATTAGTCCTTCCCGCAGCCTTTAGATTTAGTTTTGGTGTCTTAGAGTTTCTTAGGTTTATTTGGCCCTCCTCTGTTTCTGTTTGCCCATTTTGATTATTAGGTTCACCTGTCTTCCCTCCAGCTCACTTCACACACCTGCTCCCATTTTCCCTAATCACTTCTCCCAGCGTATTTAAGCCCTGTCTGTCTCTGTGTTCTTGTCGGTCCATTGAATGTTTGTTATTCTGTCAGTCTCGTCTCGTTTGGATTACCAGTGTTCTTTGCCCCTTGGACTTTCTAGAGTTTTTGATCTCCAGAGCTTATCTGGAATTTTGGACTTCTGGCTCGCTGCCTGGATTTACTTTTGTTCCGCCTTCAAAATAAAGAATTTTACTTTTCATCATCTCTGCCTCGTGTCATCCTGGGTAACTGCATATTTGGGTCCTAACATCCTCAGAACGTGACAACTACTCAAAGAAATACATACAGGAAGTTTGAAAATTACCTGTTTCCATGGACATGAGAGCCACAGAAGGCATAGCTGTAGTGGAGTAAAGTTGGGTCAATCATGGCACCATTCTCCGCCCTCTCTAGCAGATCACCCAGGTAACATAGATGCCGATGGCAGCCCCTAACACCGTAGCGAGCACAGTATTCGTCCATGACGAATACCTGACCAGGGCTGAACCAGCCCTGCAGAAAACACACAAACACTGCAGTGTGATGTGAAGAAATCAACAACAACCTGGGTACTGGCCTCACAGAATCAGCTCAGCACAATCAGGAAATGTGAAGCAGCAAATAAAACTCTAATCAGACATTCTATGAATCCACATTCACCCTCATCATAAAGAAGAAGAAATGTATATTTGTAAGTACAAACAGGTGGTGATGATTCCTCACTATGCTTCAGTAAACCATCAATGATGCAAAACGAAAATAAAAGAATTTGAGTAAGGACGTTGTAAATCACAGCAGAAGGCCTAATAGCAGGCTGCTTAATGCAGATATCCATAATGTCTTCTGCCCTTTTAATGAACCCAGAGGTGCTTTTACCTTCAAACAAAATACCTTCTAAACAAACAGCACAACTTTTATTGTTTGAATGCTGCAAAGCATTCAAACCATAGTGATCCTGTTTCTCTTTATGCCGATGGCAGTTGGTTAGATATTAGTTTATTATTATTCTGCTTCCGTATGTTTTTTGGCATTTAACTACTTCCATAATTCTTCAACTATTTACACAATTTTGGTATCAAAACGTTCAGCTCGTTCAGCTTATGCCGGCAATGACTTTAGGTATCAAAATATTTTATACTTTTTGAGATATTCAGCTTTTTCTGCGATTTTTGGTCCCATTGAAATGAATGGGATTGCTCAATTTTCAGCTAAATCCTATCACTTTTTTGAACTCTTACTCTTATAGGTTAACTTTAACCTTGAGACTTCATTCAAGTTTCAACAAACTCACAAGACATGCAGCTATTACTGGTTAAAAAACCTTTTACATATCTCTTACAGTTTTTCTAAAATCACAGGTAGAAGTTGAGGTACGGCTTGAGATCTTCAGAAAAAATCTCAAAAATTATAATGGGCAGACATAGGAGCAATGACCCTCCTTTGCTCCTTTTCTGGCATTGAACTGAGAAAACCGTAAGTCTGATTGAAATGAGACACACGCTGGCTTGCAGCAAACGGATATCTCTTCGTTTTGAGCTAAAAATCATGAATGTACACCAAACATTGTGGTCATACGGTTCATTTGTTTGAGAATATTTAAATAAAAAAAATGTCTCCCACCACTCTAAACTGAAAATTCCGCACTCAAACTTTTGACCTTCACATTTTCTGGAAACAACTCTTTCCAACACCCAGACCGTTTGGAGAATCGAATCAAATGATATCTCAAAAAGTAGGAATTTTTGTCAGCTTTTCAGAATGGGTTTCATTTTATCTGTAACCCCCAAATTCCACTACCTCCGCTCCGGTCCGCCCCCGCCTTCCGCAGCCGCTCGCTTCCGAACTCAATTTTTACTGGTACCCGCTCTACAACGGTTCCGCTCCGGTGCGGAGACCTGAGGTGGGCAAACAAGCATGCGCGGGATTTTCGAGATCTTGCGATACAGTCCGAGCAAAAAACGCGGAAGTTACATCCAAACACCCGTTGTGTGGGAGAAGCATCGAAACGAACTGTTTAATCTGCCCATCATTTGTGTTGAGAGCTCAGCAGTGTTTGGATCAACAAAGTGTGACTATTTTGATAGTGGAAACTGTATTCATGGCTTACTTTTGTGCATTTAAAGTTCAGCCGCCATTGATAGTTGTTAAAGGTTGTTAAACCTGTGTATATGAAACAAAAACGCCTTTTGTTTATCGATTTATTGTGAAAAACGGAAGTTGTGCTTGCTCCTTTTCCTGTTGGGTGGTTGTGATTCCTGTCCATTGACTGCGGAGGTGCTCCGGCGTCCGGCAAAAATAGGATCGATTCTATTTTTGCCGGACGCCGGAACAGAGGGCGGCGCACTGCGCCGCACTGCCGGAGCACGGCCGCAGTAGTGGAATTGCTCTGATTGACTACAACGGGACCGATTTTGCACCGGAGTTCGTACCGGAGCGGAGGTAGTGGAATTTGGGGGTAAGTGTTACGGTTCTTTCTCTACAAGCCTCAGAAGGAGGAGAGACCCTGATTCTGTCCCATTGAAACCCATGTTAAAGGGACAGAGATTTTCTCCTCTGATCAGCTTCAGACAGCTAAAATGTTCTTGTCATAGCTTCTAGACCAGGGGTGTCAAATATACGGCCTGTATCCGTCCCGCAAACGGGTAAAATCCGGCCCGCAACATAGTTGTGTAAACTTTATTTTCATACTTTACAATGTAGAGTGAAAATAAACATCTTTGTGAGAAAGTTTTCTCTGTAATGAGTATAAATAAAACAAAGCTGCGCTCAAGGCTCACACAAGAACTTGAATCACATCCTGAAGTTGGCTGCCACTCAGGATGTGACTTCTGATCTTGATGTGCTGGTGAAAGCTAAAAGATGTTAAGTAAAATTAGTCAAATATACTTTAAGTGCTGCATGAAACTGATCTAGCCATGTGATCTGTAAGCTCTTTGAATCACTAAGGAATGTTTTATTTATTATTATTTATATATATTTATTATTATTATTATTATTTTTTTTTTTTTTTCAAATTTTCAAGTACACTTCAGGTGTTGTACATGTACTATTTTGGATACACTGTCCTCAGGCTCCAGCCTTGTTGTATATTGATTGTATTAAAACAAAGAAAAGAATCTGAAGTTGTTTTTAATTTACCGGTCCGGCCCACTTGAGACTAGATTTCCTTCAATGTGGCCCCTGAGCTAAAATGAGTTTGACACCCCTGTTCTAGACAATTCATGGTAGGCACATAAAAATTCACACAGATGACCATCAAAGCCTTCTGCCGCTCACACTTCTTGAATTTTTTAATTCGGTGCAGTACTTTTCGAATGGTGATGAGAAGTTTGACAGGTCCAATTTCACTTATGAAGGACAGATTTAAAGGCTTCTCTCATTAACAGGAGTACAGCTGCAGGCCTCCAACAGCCAGGGGAAAAGGCGGGAAAACAATGCTGCTCTCTGATTGGTTGAGAGTGTTCAACCATTTTCTGTCCAAGCAGGATCCAGCACCCACACATATGACACATCATATTGACCAGCTTGGTCTCAGGAATCTTGTATTCAATTTTAAATGTGTTAACTGTTATCATGGTAACACAAGTGCATAAGTATATCCCCAAACAAGTCTTATTGAAATGAATGTGAAAAGCCTTATATTGAGTCTATAACATACTGCTGCTATCTTTCTGAGCTCTATACACTTAAAACTAGCAGCATAGCTGACATTTTAACAATAGTCAGAAGGCAGGAACCGCCCCCTCCTCCTTCGCTGCTCTCTCATTGGCTGAGAGATTTCAATCGTCTTCTGCCTAAAAGGAAATATGCACCCACACATATGATACATCAATTCAACCTGCTTGGTCCCAGGAGTCTTGTATTAACTTGATATTGTATTCTGCCTTACCATGGCAACGTGCTTAGCAACAACATTTAACAACATTTTACACACAATTGTGTCAACATACATAGAAATGTTATTCAAAGTTTGAGTCATGTGCATTGCTTTATTAAAGCAGACTCCTGTCATCTGTTACCATGGCAACACAAGGAACTACAAATCACTTTAACCAAGTCTCATAGGAATGAATATAAAAAGCTGAATATTGAGCCAATAACAGACTCCTGTTTTTGATCTTTTTGAACTATCTGTACTTAAAACTAGAATCAAGTTAAATATGATTGACCATCAGAAAGCGGGAAAGTGCCCCGCTCCCTCCAAGCTCCCTGATTGGTTGAGAGAGGTCAATCATCTTCTGGCTAAGTGGACTTACACACCCACACGTGTGAGACATCAAATCGATCAGCTTGGCCTAAGGAATCCATCCATCGATCCATCCATCCATCGATCCATCCATCCATCGATCCATCCATCCATCTATCCATCCATCCATCCATCCATCCAATAAACCATCTAACATCCATCCAACAGTCCATTTATCATTTCATTCATCTAACCATTCATCAATTCCATACTAAGTCTGAACATATGTTAATCTATCAGTTTCAGATATCAGTAAATGTTTCTAAATTCACAGTTCAGCCAATTGTAAAAATGTACCTATAAACTATTCTCATTCAAATGCCAGCTGTTTAACATTTCAAATTTCGAGTTTTTAATCAATGTTCAAAGATTAAACATTTTCTGCTGTTTAGCATTTTTTTGTCGATTCTTCACTTATATTCTGAGCTTTATTACACTTATTGGTGATTTTTGCTTCTAAATCTTTCACAACATTCAGCTCATTTGCCAGTTTAGCTTAGTTTCAGCTTCACTTCAGCTATTCAACAACTTCAGCAATCAGTTTCTGAATTCAGCATATGATGCTAATTTCACAGTTCAGCTAAATGTAAAATTTAAACTGTTAAACTAGTCCTACTGAAATAACAGGTGTTTAAACATTTTAGCTGTCCAGATTTTTATACAATGTTCACATATGTCAGTTTTTTGCTATTTAGGATTATTTTTCTCCATTCTTCACTTACTTTTTGTGCTTTATTTGCTTGTTAGTGATTTTTGCTTCTACATCTTTCAACACATTCAGCTCATTTTGACAGTTTTGCTTACTTTTAGCTTCAGTTCAGCTATTAAGCTGATTCAGCTGACAGTTTAAGCTATCCAGCATTCAAACAGCATTTCTGCAAGAAATGCAATCTATCTAGTTTTATTTGGTTCTGTTTGTTAAAACTAACACTAAATGTGTAAACCTATTGATCCCTTGCATGTGACGTAGTGCTCTTTGACGTGTGCCATGACGGATGGCAGACGTGGACTGCATAAACAGTGTGGTCAGCAGAAAACGACCTGTGGGAGAGCATTTTATTTTGATTTGCACGCTTTTTGCGAAAAAATTGTCATATCTTGCCGTGCGGTGGGTTGCCCTAACAGGCAAGGTTATAAATCTAATGTAGCAATTTACCGTATTCCTGCCGATGAAGATAAAAGGCTGCTATGGCTAGCAGCTATCAATTGGAAGGAGTGGCAGCCCTCCAAGTACACACGGATTTGCAGTGAACATTTTTTTGCAAGGTAAAATTCTTGTTTTAATTTTAGAATATCTTCCGTCTTTCATGGCACGCTTACTAAAGCTGTCATTATTAATGTGAGGTTGGTTTAGTCACCATCTACCACCATACAATGCAAATCCCTCAACCTTTTGGTGTGTATGTGACACAACAGTCTGGTATACAGCAAAAAAGATATTCAAATATCTTCTAATTCTCTCTTCCTGGATCAGTAGCTAATAATATGCATTGATATCTATCTATCTATCTATCTATCTATCTATCTATCTATCTATCTATCTATCTATCTATCTATCTATCTATCTATCTATCTATCTATCTATCTATCTATCTATCATCCATCCATCCATCCATCCATCCATCCATCCATCCATCCATCCATCCATCCATCCATCCATCCATCCATCCATCATCTATCTATCTATCTATCTATCTATCTATCTATCTATCTATCTATCTATCTATCTATCTATCTATCTATCTATCTATCTATCTATCTATCTATCTATCTATCTATCTATCTATCTAATCTATCATCTATCTATCTATCTATCTATCTATCTATCTATCTATCTATCTATCTATCTATCTATCTATCTATCTATCATCCATCCATCCATCCATCCATCCATCCATCCATCCATCATCTATCTATCTATCTATCTATCTATCTATCTATCTATCTATCTATCTATCTATCTATCTATCTATCTATCTATCTATCTATCTATCTATCATCTATCTATCTATCTATCTATCTATCTATCTATCTATCTATCTATCTATCTATCTATCTATCTATCTATCTATCTTCTAGATAGATAGTGTGTATATATATATATATATATATATATATATATATATATATATATATATATATATATATATATATATATATATATATATCAGGGAGGCATGGTCAAAGTTACACGGGTTGGCTGAAATAAACTCATATATATACATATAGTATGTTGAGAGGTAAACATTAGAAGTACCAGTACTGCGTAGCGGTGTGTACCAGCACAGTTACAGCACTTCTCAAAGTCTTTTTGAAGTTTGAAGTTGCTTACAGAAGGATGTAGAATGCAGCTTATGAGCACTGCTTTGAATCTCTGAGAAGCAGAAGAAATGGTCTTTTGGCTTTCATCTGTCGCATGAGCCCTGATACAGGCCACCCTACACCCCTAAATCAGCCATGCTGTGAAAAGAGCTGTTCACACCTCCACTTGGCCAGGACATGAATATGCTAATGAGCTGCTTTCTGGTTGGTTGGTTCCCCAGAAGGACAGACGCTGGAGGTTTGAGAAGGAAGGGCTCTTCCTTATGATGCGTTAAGGAAGTCTTTCTCACAACAGTTTTCTCTTTCTAATTTACATAAAAGTAGGTCACACGGCTTTGACTTTTGGCATGCTACGTTTGACCAGCCAAACTATATTTATTCAACAACAAGGAAAATGTCTGTTTGACTCCAGGTCCTCTAAAACTAAACAGTTTTCTTCCTTCTCCGTCCTACTGGTTGAAAGTGAAATTACAACTGTCAAGGTTAACAAGTAAAGGCTTCAAATGTCTGGCTTTGCACGTAATGAGTCCATCTCACATATTAGTTTAACCTTTTATGTTGAATTAGTGGCATAAATGAACTTTTGCACCATATTCTCATTTTATTCAAATGTTTTGTGTAAATATTGAGTGAATGACTAAATCCTATTCCGCCTGGATTTGATTTCAAGTCTGATGATTACCTTAGCTAGTTATGATGAGCTGAAAGCTTCCCATCTTAAAGTCACCAATATCAACACTTTATCAAAGGGAAAAGAAAAGTTTTTCTACGTTAACTCTAACCCTAACCATTCTCGGGTTGAAAAGTAGCCCACCCTCCACCATATTTGTATACAGGTCTAAAACAAATTTCAGCACCGATAAATCCCAACCAACCAAAAAAGTGTTCAATACAGAAAGACTTGTGTTTTCAGAGTAAACAGCTGCAGATGAAATGAATGTCTTCCTTACCAGACAGGAGTAGGAGTCATTAAGTCTGTGATCCAGAGTGAGGCGCTGCACCAGTTCAAACAGGGAGGCATGGTCAAAGTTACACGGGTTGGCTGAAATAAACTCATCCATTCCATGCTTTTGGGCTCGATCAGCATCTGCACAATGTAGATGAAGCACAAACACTGAGAATATAGCAAAGATACGGATTGAAACAGAAAACTGGAGTGAGAGACTCATTATATGGGCTCAGCATTCTTCATGTAGAGCAAAAACATCACTCAACACTATTTGATGCTAAGTTTTAATCTCTGAACATTGATTAGATAATCCATTTGCTGTAATCAACGTTTTAAAGTTGATGTCATTTTTGAACATGGACCAGCAATGACCACTGACCCGAAACATCCATGCATGCTACTTCCTGCGGTAAGGCGTCTTGCATCATTTGCTGTTTTCAGTGTTGCACTATGTGTAGCTGTTGGGTGTTTATGGCTCGCTAAAACTGATTTAATTTCTCTGTAACAGGATATCTGTGAGTTATTGTAGCACATAAGCACGCTAAAACACACATTTTCTGTTGTTCCACCTAGCTTTTAGGGAACCATTTGAGTTCGCACGCAGTTTATTTGGTGTTGAACAGTTTGCTCGTCCAGTTAGCTTAGCCTCAGCACGGCTATCGCTACTTCTGTCTCTGCTTCTCCGTCTCCTATCTCTTGCTCTCTGTGTCAGATGTTTAGTTTCTCCTCTGCCTCCTTTAGTGATAATGGTACGTGTAATGAATGTAGCATTTTTGTAGCTTTGGAGGCCAGGGTGTCGGAATTGGAGGCCCGGCTCCGCGCTGTTGAAAAGCCCATAGATAACCGTAGCTATATAGCTAGCGCGGGGCTAACTAGATCAGAATCACCCCGTAGTGGTCCCCCAGCAGAACCCGAGCAGCCGGGACCTCAGGCCGGCTGGGTGACGGTACGTAGGAAGCATAGAACCCAGCCCGTGGGGCACCACAAACCCACGCAGTGACGCACCCACTGACAAGCTGACTCTGATCATTGGCAGCTCCATAGTCAGAAACGTGGCATTAGAGACTCCAGCAACCATAGTTAAATGTTTACCTGGGGCCAGAGCGGGCGACATTAAATCTTACCTGAAACTGCTGGCTAAGGATAAACATAAATACAGTAAGATTGTTATTCACGCTGGCGGTAACGACACCCGGTTACACCGATCGGAGGTCACTAAAGTTAATGTTGCTTCGGTGTGTAAGTTTGCCAAAACAATGTCGGACTCCGTAATTTTCTCTGGCCCCCTGCCTGATCGGACCAGTGACGACATGTTTAGCCAAATGCTGTCCTTCAACCGCTGGCTGTCTAGGTGGTGCCCTGAAAACAACGTGGGCTACATTGATAATTGGAAAACTTTTTGGGGAAAACCTGGTCTTATGCGGAGAGACGGCATCCATCCCTCTTTGGATGGAGCAGCTCTTCTTTCTAGGAACATGGCCAGTTTTATTAGTCCTCCATGACAACCCAGGGTCCAGACCAGGAAGCAGAGTCGTAGTTTAACACACCCCTCTGCAGCTTCTGTTCTGTTACCCACCCACTACCCCATAGAGACAGTGTCCTGCCCACGGCCAAAACCACACAGATTAAATATCAGGCTTAATAAAGCAAATCATGGAAATCTCATAAATATTAGAACAAATTCAACTGAGCAGAAACCTAGAAAAATTAAATGTGGGTTGTTGAACATTAGATCCATTTTTTTCTAAGACTTTGTTAGTTAATGACTTGATTTGTGATAATCAGATCTCTTTGCTCTCTCTCACAGAATCCTGGCTGCAGCAAGAGGACTATGTTAGCTTAAACGAGTCGACTCCTTTAAATTATTTAAATCATCATATTGCTCGAAGTACAGGGCGAGGAGGAGGAGTAGCAACCATTTTTCATTCAAACTTATTAATCAGTCCCTTACAGATTAATAGTTACAGTTCGTTTGAACATCTTATTCTTAGTTTTCCTAATCCAGATTGCAAAACTGTAAAACCACTCTTGTTTGTAGTTTTGTATCATCCACCAGGCCCTTACTCTGAGTTTTTGGATCAGATCTCTGATTTTTTATCTGATTTGGTGCTAAATACTGATAAGGTCATTGTAGTGGGGGATTTTAACATTAATATATATAAATATGATAAAAGCCGTATGTTTGTGTCTTCATAGACTTTATGTAGGAAAACAGATGTATGTTGGTGTCTTCATAAACTAGATGAAGGACAACAGCTATTTGTTGGTGTCTTCATAGAGTTGATGTAGGAAGATAGATGCATGTTTGTGTCTTGACAGGTGTGCCTGTGAGAGGCTCTCCAAACAATTTAAGAAGATTCTTTTTAAAAGTGCTTGGAATGGTGAAAATTTGTGTGGAAATCCTCTGAAATCAAGACCTTTAACTGCAAGTTGATAAATTTATGACTGGAGCTGTGGAATATGCCAAAACCAAGGCAAAAGCAATCCTCCAAACAAATGGAAGAAGGTGCTCACAAACAAATGGAGAACAATCAACTGGAATCAGCTGAGGACATGACACCAACAAAATCTTCAGGTATGGCTGAAATACTCAAAGAACTGAGAGAATTTCGAACTGAAACATCAGCCAGCTTTGGAGCATTAAAAACAGAATTGAATGAGCTACGAGCAGAGTTCACGAGCATCAAAAAAAGAATGGAGGAAGCTGAACAGAGAATTGTTGAGAGTGAAGACTATGCAATGAAAACCTCCAATGTGTTAATACAAGTGGTTCAGATGCAAAAACAACTAGAAATGAAATGTGAGGCACTCGAGAGCCAAGCTCGCAAAAAATATATAAGAATCCACTCTGTACCTGAGGGTTGTGAAGAAAATAACATCATTGAGTTTGTGAACACACTGGCCCGTGAATTACTGGACGTGACTGATGATTTGAATATTGAGAGTGCACATCGTGTTGGGCCAAAGATGGGACAAAGGGAGCGCCCCAAAGCAATCATGGTTCGATTCCAGTCATACGCCATGAAACAGAAAGTATTGGAGGCTGCTTGGAGAGAAAGGAATGTTCAAGTGAAAGACCAAAAGATTTATTTCGATGAGGACTTTACAAACGCTGTGTTCAAGGAGCGGGCTACCAGCGAGACTGAAACTCTTTTGTGAAGATGGGAAAGTGAAGGTGTATAGTGACCCCCAGGCTGCTGCTATTGGACTACGTGAGTTTGGAGTAAACATGAATATTCCAGAAGAGGTTCCCGATCTGGAATCAACGCTGAGGAGCGCAGGATGGGAGTCAGTTCATGTTCAACGGAGAACAAGGCCTGGTCATGAATTGATTAAAGGAGTCAACACTCTTCTGAAAAGTCACAAGAGTTGAGGTACTTTTGTGAAAAATAGTTGATGGCAAATTCTGCTGTAAAAACTCTGAAAAGATTTGAAGTTACTGAATATAACACACTTGACTATGAAAACAATATTGACCTGTTAAATACAATTAATGATAACTTTAAATATTACACAAATGATCAGTTTAATAGTTCTGTAGATTTAGGTCATTTCTCACTTATCCACTTTAATTGTAGAAGTCTTTACGTTTGTTTTGACCAAATTAATGCATATATGAAAACATTTAAGCACCAATTTGAAGTGATTGCTTTATCTGAGACATGGTTAAATGAAGAAAAGGGCACAGATTTTGATATGGTAGGGTACCATTTGTTTTTTACAAACAGAGGAAAGAAAAAGGGTGGAGGGGTTGCACTGTACGTCAAAAGTGCCTTGAAGTGTAAAATACTGGACTCCATGGCAGTAGCTGTGGAAGATGTGATGGAATGTGTAGCTGTTGAAATAGAAATGGAAAAAACTAGAAACATTATAGTAGCCTGTATATATAGAACACCTGGCTCCAATTGACAATGTTTTAATGAAAGATGTGAAACTCTCATAGTTGGATTAAATGACAACAAATCCTGGTTAATATGTGGATATTTCAATATTGATTTACTTAACCAGAGAAACAAAATGACTAGAGGCTTTATGGATGTGATGTCCAGCAGGAGTTTATATCCTGTGATCACTCAGCCTACTAGAGTCACCAGTACCTGTGCTACATTAATAGACAATATTTATACAAATGAAATTGAGAAGACAGCTAACAGTGGTCCCCTAATTAGTGATATAAGTGATCATCTACCAATTTTTATAGTACATAAAAATGTATTCAAAAAACCTAAGGAGTTAGATCAGATAAAACATGTTAGAATAAGGACAGAGGATGCTATAACAGCATTTTGCAATGACTTGTTGAAGGAGAACTGGAGTGGGGTTTATGTGAAGGATGTGAACATGGCATATGATACGTTCTTAAAAACATTTAAATCTTTATATGATAAGAACTGCCCTGTAGTTGACTGTAGAAAAAAGAGAATTATGAATGTAGAACCGTGGTTAACTATGGGATTACTAAAATCTTGTAAAAGGAAAAACAAATCATACAGAGATTTTGTCAGATACCGAACAAAAGCCACAGAAATGAAGTACAAGATATACAAAAATAAACTGACATCGTTAATAAGACAAGCAAAAAAAGATCAGTATAATTTAAGGCTGAAAGAAAGCATAGGTGACATGAAAAGAACATGGAGAATTCTGAATAGTGTCATGAGATCCAGGTGTCAGCATGCCCGTTATCCAGATTTCTTTACTAACGGAGATAAGATCTTGAGGGATAAAGATGAGGTGGTAAATGAACTTAATTCATTTTTTGTAAACAAAGGACCAAGTTTGGCCAAATCTCTGGAAACACAAACTAATGAAACTGGAAAAATACAAGGAGGGAGCAAAATTTTACAGTCTATGTTTTTAGGGAATGTAAGCGAAAATGAAGTTTTGACGATAGTTAGGAAAAGTAAAAATAAAACATCCACAGACTGTGACGGGATTGACGTGATGATTGTAAAGAAAACTATTGATTATGTTGTTAAACCATTCACTTATATCTGTAATTTGTCTGTTCAGAGTGGTACATTTCCAGAAAAAATGAAAACTCCAAAAGTAATTCCAATATTTAAAAATGGTGATAGACATAAGTTTGATAATTATAGACCAATCTCAGTGCTTTCCCAGTTTTCTAAAGTGCTTGAGAAATGGTTTGTTCAGAAACTAGATAACTTTATTGAGAATGAAAACCTCCTGAGTGAGAGTCAGTATGGGTTTCGATCACATAAATCTACATCCCTGGCTTTATTGGAATTAAATGAAGAACTTTCATCAGCAATAGAAAAAAACAATATACAGTGGGTTTGTTTATTGATTTAAAAAAGGCATTCGACACAATAGATCATAGTATTTTACTCTCCAAGCTGAGGGATTATGGGATACGTGGACTCGCCCATGACCGGTTAAGTAGTTATTTGACCAATAGAAATCTATTTGTAACAGTTAGATGATGAAATTTCAGATTCACTAGAGATTACACACGGCGTCTTAGTTAAAGGGGGTAGGTCATATAAGATTTTTTCTTCTTCCTCCCCCTATTTCACTTGAAATTCACTTGCTTATATTCTAATTTGAAGTTTGTATATTTAAACTTTGAGTGAAAAAAATTATTGAATTGAAAAAATTGAATTGTCTTCATAGACTAGATGAAGGACAACAGCTGTTTGTTGGTTTCTTCACAGAGTTGATGTAGGAAGACAGATGCATGTTTGTGTCTTCTTAGACTAGATGCAGGAAAACAGCTGTATGTTTGTGTCTTCATAAACTAGATGTAGGAAGACAGATGTATGTTGGTGTCTTCATAAACTAGATGTAGGAAGATAGATGTATATTGGTGTCTTCATAAACTAGATGTAGGAAGATAGATGTATGTTGGTGTCTTCATAAACTAGATGTAGGAAGATAGATGTATGTTGGTGTCTTCATAAACTAGATGTAGGAAGATAGATGTATATTGGTGTCTTAATAAACTAGATGAAGGACAACAGCTATTTGGTGGTGTCTTCACAGAGTTGATGTAAGAAGACAGATGCATGTTTGTATCTTCTCAGACTAGATGCAGGAAAACAGCTGTATGTTGGTGTCTTCATAAACTAGATGTAGGAAGATAGATGTATATTGCTGTCTTAATAAACTAGATGTAGGAAGATAGATGTATGTAGGTGTCTTCATAAACTAGATGTAGGAAGATAGATGTATGTTGGTGTCTTCATAGACTAGATGTAG